CAGGAGTACTTAGGCGCATCTCATATACATGAATATCTTCCATTTCAAATCCACAGTAAGCACAGATTATTTTTTCTCCTCTACTTGCAGTTAATGGGCAAGGCTGCAGACAGACAGACTCTCCAGAACAGATGACAAGGAGCAGAAGCAAATGACTGCACTCACTCATGCACTGGCAGCATAACCAGTATAGCTGGCAAATTATGAGGTTATTATAAAAGATTGAGTGTGCTGGGAGAATGGAGCAGTCAGAGCACACTAGCCAATATTAGCAATGCCATTTATGACAATATAAATCTGTTCAGACAAAGAGGAAGTTACAATGCAGAAAATATCCAGCAGCTTGTTCTCTCCTTGTTTTGCAGAAAAGAACTACTATGAATATTAGTAAAAGTCTAAAGTGTTTCCTGAACTACAAGGAATCATAAGATGAATTTCCCACACCCTTCCCCAATAGGAATAAGCAATTATGCAAATATTTTTCCGTAAGCCTATTCAGGAAGATGAAGGCAATAAATGCAGGTAAGAGATGAAGGGTGGAACTCTGGCAGCTTCAAAACTCATTTCACCTTTTAATTTAAGACACAATACCTTTATCTTCATTTCATCAATTGCATCCAGGACCCAGCCCACTGTGCCATCCCCACCACAGACCAGAACCCTGACAGCATTGCAAGGCAGCCAAGTGCAGAGTTGGAGAGCTTTAGCAGGTGCAATTTTGCTGAGATCAAAAACCTAGAAAAAAGGAAAATAAGGAATTCTGTTAAGTTCACAGAACATGACTCAGGATTTGCCTCATAGATAAACAACTTCAAGAAGTTAACTCTAATGTAAAACAACGATTCTGCATTTGCAGTATTGCATTAGCAAATGAGATGTCTTGACTTTCATGAGCAGGATCTATTTCCCAAATTCACAACAGAGTTCCAGCTGCCTCCCTAGGATTAAATGGCATGGATAAACTGAGCTGACAGAGCCCTTGGAAAAGTCTGTATTTAGAAGCATGATGGTGAATTCTGAAAAGATGAAAGACTTCAGATAAAAGAAATTTTAAAATACTCAGCACACAAAGAGGTTTATTCTTTAAAGCCTTATTGGGATGCACTTAAAACAAAAAAAAAAACCAAACAGTGATTTCTCTTAGGCTGTATTTTACAGCTGGGTTTTGAACTTCAAAGGAAGAGTATTAAGGTGCAGCCAGGAAATCCAAGAACAACTGCCTGCCTTACGCAACATCCTGAGCCATCCCAGTGGATTTTAAGAGGAAAGCAAGTACACAAAGCAAAACTGTCAAGGCTGACATTTCCACAAATAAAGTGAAGATTTAAACAAATACAGGTTTCCTATAAAGAAGATTTAAATGGTTCATTTTCTAAAAAGTGTACACTGTTTCAAAAGTCAGATACTTCTGACTGAATTACTGCATGTATTACTGTAAGCAAAAAAAAAAATGGACTGGTATTAGAATCCTAACAAAAATTGGGCTGGGAGAAACCTCTGCACTTTTTGCTGTTCTCTGTGAAGCTGTTGCTTGCTAAAAGAACAAACGGCATGAATTTGTTTCCTTTACTGATCTTCCACAAGACCCTATTGCCACTGTAAACAAGGCGATACCTATTCTAACCTAAACTGTGGTTTTATTATGGTGGCTTTGCACTGTAAATACCTGAACAGGGTTCAGCAGCATTTTAAATTCTCCTAGTAAAGTTTCACCCATGTTGTTTCCACTGCGAGTATTAGCCAGCACCATTACTGGCATCCAGTGTTTCCTGCAGTAAGGGACCACCTGCAAAAGGTAAAAACCAGGCAGTCACACAAATACTGCACGTTTGAAATGTTTACAGCCTTGCTCCGAGCCCCATCCCCTGCAAGTGCTGAAATGAGGAAGTTACCAATTAGTCTAAAGCAGACAAAACACAAACAAATACTTCTGATACATCAAGGCTGAAGATTCTGCAGTGCTCAGGACAAGGAATACTACCATGCTATGAACAAAGCAGTAAAAACTCACAAAAAATTCAAGGAAGTAAGGTAGACAAATCTCTGTATTTTGGAATAAAAAAATCCACATCTGCTTATATTTCAACAACCATGTTAGTAAAATGACAAACACCTCTGAATTAACACAGCAAGTACTTAAGTGACCTTGAAACATTTACCTGACAGTTGCTACCATCACAATATATTGAGTTCAAATTTCAAGGTCTGTCTGTGGGTTTCTTTGGTTGTTTTTTTGGTATATTCTAAACCCAAGAAGCAGCAGGCCATTACCTTTTCATAATTGGTTTTTTTCTCTTTACGCATCTGGTTGATTGCAGACAAATAGTAGGGTGGAATAATTAAGTCTTTGAATTCTCCAAATGTACAATCCTCAGTCCTCAAACAATCCACCATGCATTCATCATGCACAGTGTACTGACACCACACACACCTGGCAAAAAGACCAAAACACATGAAAACAATCTTCAAACAGGCACATTGATTTTGCTCATTTTTTTTAGACTTTTGTTACAATATTTATGTTTACATGCACCATTGTAAGTAACATTTCATGCCCTGGAAGCTTATGCATTGGCTATAGAAAATTACATCAATTGGTCATGTGCTTGCAGGTCTAGGAAAGTATTTGAATTCTGCTGGGAAAAAAAATCCAACAGTTTAAAGTTAATTAAGTTCTTTTTAACTAATGAAATAGGTGCTATAAATGTTCTCCTGTTTGTAATATTAACAGTTACACTGAAAGCCTGTAAAAAAATCTGAACTCCTGTCCATCCTTAGAGAGCGCAGATAAAATACCGGAGCTCAACTCAATACAGTGTTACAAGTAATGAATTAATGCATTCCTTAAGGTTGATAATACCCTGTTTAAGCCTGAAACCTAAAAGGTTACGCAGAACTGTACTGATGGAATTTAGTTATGCAAAACTGCTTTGCTTTATGACCTATTCTAAAAGCTGTCCTGGAAAAAAAGACTAGATCAAGAGGAAATACTGCAATATCCACTTCCAGCCTCTGCAGAATGTTAATCCTCATTTACTACATCCAAAGCCTTGATTTAAGCAGCTGGGAAAGCTATTTTTGGAGTCCTCCTGACTAATACAACACACAGCTAGAGTAGCAATGACACTTGCCTTACCCTCTGACTCTCTTTTCCTTTTCTTCCTTCCTTTCCCCTTTGCCTCCAAATTCCTGCCCTTCCCTCCTCTCCTACACACTCTCAAGGTTTCGTTTCTGATAATCTGCTCTTTTTCTCTGTAATTCTGCTTACTTACCAAGCAGTTTGACAGTATCACATAAAAGCAAAGCAAAAGCTGGCAGAATCTAGGCTGAAAAGATCCTTTGAGTAGGCTGAAGTAACACACTAGGGCACCTGTCATTGCATTTTGGCACTGACAACTGCAAGCAACCTTACTAATGACAGTGCAAGTCCAATTAATGGTTCATTGTATTTTAAAAACACTCTTATCACAATCTTTATCAATATATTGCAATAGCTTATAAAACTTCTCTTTAGATTTTTTTAAGCACCCTTAAAAATGAACCTGAAATCTCTACAGGACATTATTGGCTTTATTTACACTGAGCAGACGCCAATTTTGAGATGCACACTTTGGTTCTCTGAACTGTGAGCTGTGCCAGTCAAACCGCTCAGGCTACCCACTGTGCAACCAAAAAATTTACGAGAAACTTCCTATATCATCCCCTAAAATACAAACTCCCTTGGACACTGGGAGTCTCTTGTATGTAATTACACAGCAGCCTGCACATCATGCTGGAGCAATGCAATTAAGAGAATGAGTGGATGTGAAATGCAACACCACGCTCTTAATCTATGACTCGAAAACATCCATTTTAAGTTCTTTGAAGTTTGTTCTTTTTAACAGTATCTTATCTGACTACTGCAGGATCTATTTTGGGGTGTGGTCTCCCAACAACCCCGTGGAAAACACAACACGGACATGGCACTGTAGCGCTCTCACAGAGTCAGGCAGCCGTGCAGTACCTGTAGTCGCAGAGCTTGGGCTGCGTGCCGCACTGCTGCTTGCAGACGATGCAGCAGCTGCAGAGGGGGACGTTGCCCCTGATCCAGCGGTGCGGCACGGAGCCGGCCGAGCCCCTCGCCATCACCTCCTTGCAGGGGAAGCGCTGGTCCGCCTTCCTCAGGCAGCGCTCGCTGACGCGCAGCCCGCAGCAGCCGCAGAAGGCGCCGCGCAGGATGTGCTGGGCGCACACGGAGCAGTACGAGGGCTGCCCGAAGAGGTCCGTGTAGTGCCAGTCGTGTTTGCTCTTGCGGAGGATGTCCCGCATCAGCAGCTGCCGCCGCGACCGCTGCAAGCTGCACCACGCCGTGATGAGCACGGGCAGCAGCACGGAGAACAGCGTCCAGAGGGCCAGGCGCCAGTCGGCATCGCCCGAGCCCTCCATCGCTGCGCCTCCCCGGCCTAGCCCCTCGCACCTCCCGGGCAGGCGGCGGGGCGAGCCCCGGAGCGGCCCCTTCGCTCAGCGAGCCAAGGCGCAGCTGCACGCACCATCCCCTAATCCCTGCTCGGGGCTCGGCACCGGCCCGCGCCGCATGGCGCCGGCGGCACGGCTCCGGCCGGGGCTCGTCCGCCGCCCGCCCGGGCCTTGCGCAGCACCGGCCGCCCCCGGGCTCCTCCCGCCGCGGTCCCCGGCGCCGGGAGGGCGCGGCCGCTCGGCCCCGGCTGCCCCGGGCCCCTCGGCGGGGCACACGGGGCGGAGCGGACAGCGAGCTCCGGCCCTCGGCCCGCCCGGGAGCTGCCGGCGGAGCCGGGGCCGGGGCGCTCGGAGCTCGGAGCGGCGCCGCGGGATGCGCGGGGCGGCGGAAGCGGAAGCGGCCCGGGGACGTTGCCAGGACACGGGCGCCACCCGCCCCCCGCCTGTCGCGACAGCGACGATGTCGCCAGCGGCGCTCAGTGGCTGCGACAGTGCCCGGCGGAGCAGCTCCACTCCGGCTCCGGCTCCGGCTCCGGCTCCGGCTGCGCTCCGGCTGCGCTCCGGCTCCGGCTCCGGCTCCAGCTCTGCCGTGCCCAGACCCGAGGCGAAGGCCACGCTGGCTTGGTGCCGAGTGACCGCGGTGTTTGTGCCTTTATTGCCCAACCGTAAATGTTTCTCCTATAATTTCGTTCTGCCCTAGAATCATGGAGTCATCAGAGTTGGAGGGAGCCTTTGCGGTCACTCGGTCCGGCCGTGCAGCCGCTGCCGCTGTAGCCCCTGAACCGCAGCACCCGCGTCTGGTCCAGCGCCTCTTGGGCAGCTCCGGGGATGGGGACTCCATCCCCGCCCCGGGCAGCCCTTTCCAAAGCCTGACCACACCAAACCATGATAATCTTTGAATCTCCCCTGTCTCAGCTTGAGGCCACTTCCCCATGTCCTCCTTCGGCCCAGCAGAAAAGCCCGATCCCCACCTCACTACAGCATTTCAGGTGGTTGTGCAGGGCAGTGAGCTCCTCCCAAGTTGTGCCTTTGTGCTGTATTTATCCTCCCCATGGTTGTGCTTTATTGCCCAACCATAAATGCCTTCCCCTCATAATTTCGTTCTGTCATTACATGTTCAATTGTTTCCCTGGAGCAGTTCTAAAAATAGTGGCTGCCATTAGAACCTACAGGTTTTCCCACTTTCAAAACAGTATAGTGAGCAATGATGTAAATCCATACAGCATTTACAAAATTGATTGGATTCTGGAGTCTTGGTATCTTTAAAAAAACACCAAAAAACGCACATGCTGCACAGATGGGCAACACTCAGGTTTCCAAGGAAATTCCTCACTTCTGTCATGTAAGACGCAATGATGAGCTCCAACTACCTATTTTATATGTTATAGTTGAAGGGATGCATTTTATGCCCTACAAATTGGTGATGCTGGTACCATGTGTTCAGCATGGCGCTGCCCAGAAGAGCTCTAGACATTTCTCAGGGCCAAAACTACCTGTTTGCAGTGACATTTGCTAACCTACATTCATAATATGCTTAATATGCTTTATAATCCTGCTTTCTGCTAACTTGTCCTGCAAGGAGGAGAATTATGTGGGTTTTCATTTGTATGGTTCTATTAATTTGATAAAAAACTCTGCTGTGTTTCTCAGCAGTCATAATTTGGCTTTGCTAGAGTTAAACCCCATTAGTAAGTACTTTTCTGCTGAAGCAAAGATAGAGACAGTCTTGGAAAAAGGGGTTTCTTTGCAGCTGCCTCTGAGATTAAAAGTACTGGGCAGTTGTTTCTTTTAAAAAACAATAGTTTACTTGGGCACCAAAAACCTTTTCTTGCCATGCTAAATATAAGGGGATAGGCTTTATTTTCACAAGTCTAAAATACCCAGTGTAGCTCTGAAGCCTGAGGTGGAAAAAAAGGCCTTCTATTTTCTTCCCTGAGGAAAAGAGTTATGCAGAGAATGTGTGAGCAGATAATAGACTAATTCAAACCTTCAGACCAGATGTCTTCAGAATCATACTATCACTCAAATTAAAGCAGAAACAAACATTTGGGACTGACGTAGCTCCTTCAAATAGGCAAATGCCTCAGTCAGGGTTGCTCATTTTGGAACAGACTGAGAGAAAGCAGAATCAAAATGAAGAAGTTTCTTGTGTTTGTCTCCTTTTTGGTCCTGCTGACCACTGTTACAGGTAGGAGTTTCTATCAACAAACCTTAATATGTGTAAAGCTGCAGAGCATATAAATAGTATTAGTTTGTCAACCTTCTATTTTAGTATTCATTATTAATATATTTTAATATATTTTATTTTTAACACTTAACTATTTTTATATTGCAGGCTTTCCATAATTTGATTTTTAACAATCATGATGTTGTATTTGATATTTAACTCTCTGCATTACCACACTGTAGTCGTTTGTTGTAAACCCCAAAATTTTCATTTTACTTGCTTACTATTTAAATATTATTTTACCAAGGTCCTGCAAGTGGAATGTTCAATGCAATCTCTTCTTTGCAATGTATCTAAATCTTTACTTTGAAAAAAATCTTATAAAGCAACACAGAAAAGAACAAAGAGTTGGAAGAGCAACTAATGCCAGTGGTTTGATGGTGCTGTTGTATTTGCTCATTTTATAGTACCATGAATATGTGGGCTTTGCTTCATACTAGCAGGGCAAGAGAAAACACAAGTATAAAAATGGTTTAAAATTCCACTCCTATCTCTTGGAATGCAATACCCCCTGGGAAGGGGTTGTAATGAAAGAACACTTTGTTGATAGAAAAAAAAAACAGGCTTGGAGATATTTCATTTCACAACTGATAGATAAAATACTAACGTTTTGATAATTTCAGAATTAATTTCTGCTGTTCTGTCTTTAGACACTTCACCAATTTTGTCTGAAAAAGATGCCAAACAGATGCTGAGGACTCGTCGTGAAGACAGACCAAGAAAAGCTGGTTTCCCTGATGAACCAATGAGGGTGATTTATAACATTTACTATTAAATTGCATTAACTTAAAAAACCCAACACCAAATCCCCCAAAACATTCGTGCTTAGTATTAAATTTCTATTGCTTCTAGGCAATATGTTATAAATATCACCCTTTAAAGCAGATGAGTTCTTCCATGAAATATTAAAAAAACCCTTAAATTCTTTCAATTACAGTTAAAAGCATTCTTTAAGTACTGAGTATTGCTCAGGAAATGTTCACTTGCAGAATGAGAAGGTTATTTATCATGGTTCAAAAATACAGATCAAATTATTAAGAAGAAAGTGGCTTTTAATTTATAGAGATGTGGATTTCATAGGCTTGTTCCTGAAAAACTAAGTAACAGGAAAGGTCTTCTGCTCACAATACATTCTGCACTGCAGGCAGAGAGGAGGTGGAGGCGTCAGTGGCCTGTGTGGAGACTGAGGTAGTTCTCAACCACCTTTAAAAATCACTTACTTTCATTGACTTATTTATGAGTGCTACAGATAGGATGTTTTTTTGTGATATTGTAAGAGTTTTTAGTTGCTGGCTTAATGCAACAGTTTTGGGTTTGCGTGCAATATCTACATTTATTTATTGCTAAACCCTGTTACAACAAAAGAAAAAGTAAAACAATTAAAGAGCCTTCTGTTTTACTTGCTTTGACAAGACCTAAAACATCAAGAGTACTTAAGGTATTTTAAACTGCTGCCTATTTCTTTCCAAAGTAAAATTACATGCTTCTGAAGAGGCAAAACGCACAGAAGCCAGGAGCACACGAGGGATTGTGCACGTGATGAGCACAGGGGGCTCAGTTTAGCAAGGTGCTGAACATTTCTGGACTCCATAGGATGTGAAGAGCTCTACCTGCCTTGCAGGATTGTAGAAACAGCCTCTGGTTTTCCCTTTCCAGTGGGTAATGTGCACCAGCCAAAAAGAATCCACCTGCCCAACACTGGGTGAATGCACTGTTTGTCAAAGGGGACACCAGGACAAACCACAGCTGTCACACAGATATTGCTCCGTGCTTCTTGACAACCTTGTACACTGAAAATTGCACAGCACAGCCAAAGAGCAGAAGGCTGCACTGCTGCCCACAACACTCAGGACTGGTTTGGTTTCTGAGTTGTTAAATAAGCCTTGTAGTTTTTGCAAATGAGCAGGAATACAGCTCCCATCTGTTCTTATGCTTATATACCATCACAATTAAGGTTATGTGGTAAATAGAACAAATATTAAATACAGAATAAATGAAGCAGCAGAACAGTTGGATTGAGGTAATTCCTGTATGGAATGTTACATGTATGCATGCAACATTTAGTCTGTGGTTTAGTTTCAGCTGGTCCTGTGAGGAGCAGGGAGCTGGACTTGGTGATCCTTATGAATTCTATGACTCTGTGTGGGGAGAGGAGGGATTCAGGGCTAAAGAAATGTTGGATTTCTGACTTTATTGCTCTGTCCTTGCCACTTTCTGTCCTACCACGATTAGGAGCAAACACTTTTTGAGAAATTCCAACCTTCTTTTATTTATTTTCTTTTGTTTTTTACCTAGAAAGCAAAGCTGACCCTCTGTAAGAAAATCCAAACATAAGAGTATTTGTTTTGCTCTCTAAATGTCAAGATTTTCAGTAGAAAAGGAAACATCTCATAAAAAAACCCAAAAAACAACCCTCATTGCCCTGTGGAACGTGGAGATTTTCCATGTGAATGAAGGTGCATGGCTGCTGCATCCTTGTGCACAGCTTGTGCACATGGAGTCAAGGAGAAAAACTGATTTTGTATGGATGGTTTGTAGCAGAGTGAAATGAATGCTGGGATGAACCCACCTTTGTTCATCTGTTTTAAGCACAAACTGTTTGTACTGGGCCAGATCATGCTGAGCTGGGGAATGTAATTTGCAATTCTTTGTGACACTCTTTGACTTCCACAGTGCTGCTTGAGTCAAAAACCTGTTCAGTTACAGACAGAAAGATCAGCCCCCCTTGATTATTAAAAGAAAATGTAATTTATGTTATCAGCACATTTTAAACTTAATTTGACTGAGATCCTGCTTTTGATAATGTGGCATCTTCTCAGTCACATAGTTCTGTTCCCTGCCAGTTCCTAAGGCAGTCTCTCCCCTGAGATCTGAGCCAATCTCCTGGTGCTGGGAGCAGAGAAATCCCAGTGCCAGGCAGGATCCTGATGCTGGAATACTTGGCCAGTGCAAAGGCTTTAGGCTACAGCTTCCATTCCAACAGTGCCCACTCTGCAAAGCAGTGGGGGATTATTTTGGATAAATGTATTTGCTGTTCACAAAACTTGTGAGCCCAATAGGACTGGGACTTTTTAAAAGTAAATTTTGTCCCTGATGGAGGTCAAGTTTTTGGTACACAGCCTACTTTATTTCAATAAACTTTTTGCTGAGACCAAAGTCTCTGTCTATAAATTGGTGTAGGAAATTCACATTATTTTATTTATCACCAGGCAGCACTGGTGAAAAATAAAATAAATGTTTTAGCTTACTTCAATATTATTAACACAAAAGGTATTGAAAAGTTTTACAACCTATGCTTAAAATAAAAACAGAATGATTTTGTTGAAGGAATTACAAATGTGGTTTGATAAAGTTGTTGTAATTTTATAAGATATAGATTTGGCATAGATAAGAGCTTAAATTTGATTGCTGCAAGTATTTTTAGATTTATACGTTTTTAGAGTAATGGAAATAAACCGGCTGCAGCACTAGAACAGCTTGTGGCTTGGAAAATTTGTGTGCTACCTACTGGAATCCTTCAGACCTGCCACATAATCCTGCAAGGGGTTAATGTTCTTTAAGCAGCAGGAACCAGTTTTCAAAAGGGGCTGTAACAGATCTATTTGTGAGAATCCTTTGTACAATCAGGCCCAACAAAGGCTTCTGTGTTGATATGCAAATAAGAAATGTGTATCCAGAATTCCTAATTTATGAATATTGTTGGTTAATTCTTGGTCGATACCTTTGCTGGTCTGGAGATGATGTCATTCACTAAACATTGCTAGGCTGGGGCAAGCTGACCAGCAACACCATTTCACTATATGTGACTATTTTAAGGGATAAATTAATGGCTCTTACATCAGCTGTGAAATGATCCTGGGTCCCTGGCCTGACAGTAGAATTGAGTGACCACACAATTAAATTACTTTTTCTTTTCTTTAAATAGGAGTATATGCTTTACCTCCAGCACTTGGAGCAGAGATCAGAAGAACAATTCCTTGAACACTGGCTGAATCCTCATTGCCTCCCACACTGCAACAGGGATCTGGTGCATCCAATCTAATGGGCTTGCCTACCCTGCAACTGGTATACATACATATATACATATTTCTTCTACAGTGCACGTTTTTTTCTCCATAATGAAAGGCAGAGCCACACACTGGGAGAGAATGGAATAACCAAAGGCTGGGGAAGCACCTTGTGCTGAAAGGTATTGGGCAGCTGAGCAGGAGCAGGGAACAGAAGTGTCCCAGGCATCAATTCTGTCACTCTGCTCTGTTCATGTTGATAAAACTCTGTTTATGCATTTCTCTGCTTTGTGGGTGTAAGCTGGTGACTGCAGAACTTCTTATTAATGTGGCTTCAGATTGCTCCTGTTACCCTCCTGTCTGCTTCTGTTCTTTTTCCAACGGTTCTGTTTAAGTTTTGTGCTTGTTCACTTAGCTCTCAGTGGGACTGGGGCAGGATTAAACTCAGTTGTCATCCTGGAGATACTCAGGATGCAGTCTGACTTGCAAGGAGGTTTTTTAAACAGACAGGAAATTTGTCAACTGAGATAAGTTTAAATCATCACTGTAAAAGTGAAGCTTTATCACTCCCAGTTAACTTTTTAATATGAAAATTGCAGATTTAGCTTCATATTTTCAAAAGCTTTTAAGCAGCACAATACAGAGATGGTATCTGTCACAGCTGATCTGTTTCAAAAGATAGAAAGTTCATCTGCTTAACATTCTTTTATCTATTTGTACCTCTCTAAATACCTTTAAAAACTGGGACATTGTGGTACACTTCAGTGGGGCTCTGTTGAGCCACAATAAAACAAAGGTCTGATTTGTTTAAAAACAAAAATATAACATTCCCAAACTTCAGCCTTAGGAGGTAAGTTGTCTATTTTCAAAAAAAAATCTTCCAGCTAAGACAGTTGAATGCTGGCTCACTTAGCTACAGGAATTCTTCCCAACAGCTGCTCCCAGGCCACTGTGAAGAATTAATGTTTGAAAAGTGTTTAAATTATTTGAAGCCCTTAAGATGTTATTAGTATGGCCAATGTCAGCATAGATTTTGATATTCTGTTTTTTTCTTTTTTCCCTGCAGATCTCCACATGGATTTGTACGTGATTGTATTAAGGAGGACAAGATTATTCCTGCATTGGCTACGTGCTCATTGTAGAGCAGAACCTCTCTGCACTGCAGTGCAATCCTCATGTACAGCAGAATTTCCAGCTCTAAGTGGCTCGATGAGTTATAAACCACCATGTATTTTCTACCAGCAATGCTTGCATGCATGAATAACTGAATTGAGGGTTTCCACAGTTTCTGAGCTATGGGCAGCTTATTAGTCCTAAAGTATCCTTTCAAGGGCACAGGTTTAGACTGTCTGAAGCAAAAGGAACTTGGAGAGACAGGTAAACAGAAAATTGCAGAATACCAACATGAAGAGAAGGCCAGCTTTCTGGGCTTTGGAGGAATCCTTAATTACTGTTTTCTAGGTTAAATAACAATATTTCATGAAGAAACAACATTTATGTAACACTATGTCTTACTGCCTGATGAGTATTTCATGTATTGTTTCATAATAAAAGCTTGACACTATTCCATTTGGAGATGATTTTGTTCCCTTAGTCTCCCATACTTTATTCTGACAAAATTCACTGGAAGTGAGGCTCAGTTTTGTGAAGTACTAAGGCAACATCAGAGGACTTTCTAGGACCAGCAGTTGGGAAGCCCTGTGGTACAGATTAATAATTGTGTAATTTCTCTGTACAATTACTCCTTTCCCTTGTAATTCTGCCAGGAAGGGTAAATGAATCCAGCCAGCCCTTTCCTGCCTGTGTGCCTTTATAACTTATACCTTGGAAAAGAATATCTTGTACAGTCAGAGGGAAACATATGATACCTGCAAAACAACACCAAAAAATTGCTTGATGGCTCTTAAATGACTGCTGTGATCTGTAATGGCAACAGAATTAGTTATGAATGGAGCAAAGTAACTTTCAGAGCTCTTCACTGCAGTCACACTTGAAGCCTGAGGACTGGCTGCAAAATAAAACACAATTTTATGAATATCTATAAGGTAATTAGTGCTACAGAGCTCTTGACAGGCTGGACTAGATCAACAGTTTTTCTGGTATACTTTTCTTCCAGTAAAACAGCTCTCCTAGATGACTCCAAGGAAATAATTTAAATCTCAAAGCTTCAAAGCCTTGCTATCCCCTACTGCCAAGATAAATCATAGATTAAATCTGGGAGTGTGAAAAAGAATAATCAGGCTGCTATTGTGTGCTTCATTCATAACTCTCTCAATACAGAGATCTAAATTTGCATATCACTTTGAGTTAAAGTCACTAGGTGAAATCCTGGCTCTGTTTTTATTTGTACAGTAAAAAATTCATTTAATGACAATTATGTCAACTGTTACCCTGTGAAAGTAATTTTTCAAGTACTTCTTTGAAGTGAAAGAACTCCCACCAAGTTATACTCAGTCATTTTTAAGGTAACTGGAAAGGTTAAGCAGAAGGTTCTGTTCAGTTCTTCTCAGTAACACTGAGCTAATCCTAAGGCAAACATGGAATAGAGATTGTCCATTGCTTTGCCGTTTGCTTTTCCACATGAGGGCCAAAGGATCTCATGTAGGTATCTCCAAAAGTTAAGTAATATAAAGTCTAATTAACAAGGAGAAAACTAGAAACATAGAAAGGTGAAGTATTTCCTGATCACTGATCCACATTCTCCCCCACTTCGTAAGAAAAGGAATTCTGGTGTAGTGCTAAGAGCCTTTAGTCCATGTTGGTGTCAGGCTGATGGGCAAAGGAGCCAACTCATATTCAAACCAAACCCATCTCTCTTATAAATATCTACACCTCTGTTCTGGGCTGGAACTGACCACTGAAGAACCTCCTGGTCCCTCAAGGCAAGAAAAGCAGCAGACACCATATAGGAAAGTTTGAAACATAAGGAATCAAGGGAGAAAAAAAAAAGTACGAAAGAAAGGAGAATGAACTAAAAATATGTAAGTTAAAAATAATAAAAGAAACCTAGACTAAAGCCTATGAGTGCCTCTGGAATCCTGTGATCATGAAGAACATAGCCAAGTTACTGCTTTTTAAGACATTCAGCTTTTCTGCCAGATTTAAGAAGCCAAGTCATCCCTTCATACAAATTAATCTTGCAAGTAAACACAGAAGCACCCTCCCGCCTATGGGAGAGGCAGACAGAGAAGAGAAGGCCAGCACAGCACAGCAGACTTTCATAAGTTTGCTCATCAGTGGCAAACACAGAAAGCTGAAGAGGGTGAAGGCATGTGACTGCTTTAGACTATTGCCATGGATGCAGCAACCTCTTGTCCTGCTTATTGTGTATTTTTGCATGTCCATAAAAGATACACAGTGTTTTACACAGAATACAGTGAACTAACAAGAGTTAGATCTTAAGATCAGGCATAAATAAATCAGCTCAAGCATTTATTGTAACTCAGAAGTGGGAAAACTCATAGATAATTAGCATAAAAAGTAAACACTGCATAAATATACTTAGTTATAGCCACAGAATTATATAATTAATCTTTTTTTCAGAGTCCTTCAGGTTACTTTTATTCTCTTCCTCTACACAGATATTTCCTTCAAAGCTCTGCTGAGCTTGAATTCCTCTATAGTTGAACTAGATCGAGTGTGTTCAAGGATTAGTTGCAGGTTTGTTTTTTTTCCATGTCTAAAATCTTGGGGGGAAATGCTGAACTTTCCTACATGCCTGCAAAGCAGAAGAACAAGCATTCTGGAAGTTGTATACTGAAGGTGGGAAAGCAGGAAAAATAGTTTTTCAAAATGCTTTTAAAGAAAAGGATTAAAACAGACCTGGGAAAACCTTTCACCCATGATAAGCATAATCATAAGATCCCATCGCTGACCTGTTTTACAGCCAGCGCCTTTCCCGAGCGAGCAGCTGCCCACTAGATGCCACTGTTTCTGCACTCAACCAGATCCCAGCTCACAAGGACCGAGAGCACCGCATCCCTTTCCTCCCGCTTCTTTTTCACTCCTTTTCTTTAAATGTTCAGCTCAATTGATCAAAATCAGAAGTCACCTCTATCCCATAAAATAAAGACCTTCAGCAAATGGCTGATTTTCCCCCCTCTGGGTTGCAGACTGCTCAGAGTGTGGGTGTAGGTGTGGTTGTGCTTCATTATGCCACAGAAAGAAATGGTTGAAAGTTCCTACAAGCACATTGTTGTGGTTTGTGGCTTTTTGCTGCCTGCCATCCCCACACAGATGCTAACAGAAGGTTTTGGGTGTTTGCAGAAGCTGCTCCCTCTCAGAGTAGATCATTTGATCCATGTTGAGTTTCCCCAAATTAAGCTGCAGACTGATCAATTGGTAAAAGCATTACTCCAAGGCATCACTCCATGGCATTTATCTTCCTAAATGTATGACCTTTAGCAGCACAGGGAGCTGTGTTAGGTGCTGCACAAAGTGGACTGAAAAGGCAGACTGTGCCCAGGGCCAGGAATGTAGTGTCTCTCTATAAAGAGCAGATACATAACATCTGCTCTAATTTTAAAGACACAAGAATTCATTGAAAAAAGGCAAAGGCTGGGATTTTTGAAAGCATCAACTTCTTCAGTAAGGCCAAAAGATTTTATCACAGACAGATAAATAGGACATGAAGTAGTTACACTACTGCCACTAAGCACTTTGGCAGCTCAACTAATTGGTTCTTTCTACCAGACTTACCTTATAGGAAAACATGAACCAAAAGTTCTTATTTACCAAGACTGGAATTTCCAGAAAGCTCCCTGAAAGCAAGTCAGTCACTTGCTTTATTTGAAATTCACTTTCACAGTGAGGAAGGTAATGGAAAATGCAAAACTAAATTTACCAGTTTTCAGTTTAGATGGTTCAGTCTTTGCTTCTCAGGGAGGCTGAGCAGGTGAGCACATTCTTCCCCTCCCAATGACAGGATAGCTGCTCTGGAGCATTACTGAGACATTAATATGAAAAAGAGTTACAAAGAAAATGCCTATAACCATCTGAAATTATGATATAATATGTATGGAAATGTTCCCTTGCAGTACTCCAGGGCTTTTCCCCCCCTTTTTTCAATAGTTCCAGCCCTGTTTCAATTGTCAGGATATTGTTTTGAATGAAGACTTGTGTTACTCCCAGTGAATGAATGCATAAATAATTTCTGAAGCAGTGGAGTGAAATTGGATAGATTGAATGTGATCACTGCAGTAGGAGCCTACTTTAGATTCTCAGTGAGAACTTGTTTTTTAATGACTAAAGAGATCAGAGTGGATTTTAGAAGGTTATCTGAGCCTTTTATGGCCTACAAAGAGAAGAAAATCTTGTGAGAACTATGTATCTTGAGATTTCTGATGTGTGATTAGAAATGCTGAGTGATCTGTCTCCTATCTGGCATTTTAATCCTTCTTCAGGTCTGGGGGTAGAGATGTTCACTAAAATGAAAAACAGTAAAAAGCAGAAAATGTTCAATGAACTCCGAGTTAATAAAATTCTCCTTATTCTGTCAAAGCAGCAGGGCCAACCCAGTGTCAGCTCAACATGAACCCAAATGTTTGGAGCACTGATGCTATTCCAAATCTCAAGCTCATCTTAATTTTTTTTTTTACTTCAGTAAAAAATGATCATTTCAAAAAAAGTGCATTTCTTTTTTCCACATTTGGGGAGATTTTGCTCTAAAGATCCATTTGGGCATCTTTCTATATAACACAAGCATCATGCACATATATTTATTAAATTGAGTGTGCCAACCTTAAATACAGGGGATCTTAGACCAAAGTCAGGCAGAACATTGCTTCATTTTGTATTTTGTATTTGTCAGAATAACAGCAACTATTGAATGATTTCAAGAAATTAATTCAGGAAAATGCCTCAGATGTTCACAATGTACCTGGCTTAGAGATTTGCTAAGAACCTTTGGTGTGACTCTGAATATGTGCCTGTAGTGTCCATAAAACTGAGACCAATCCTCAAAACGGACTGGAATATTTGATTCCCAGCACTTCTCCTGCCCAGATATCAGCAGAGCTCAATATTCCATCAGTGCAGGATGTACTTCTATCTACTTCTCATGAGCTGTATAGGATTTGTTCCAGCATCAGTAATAAACTCCTGTGCTTCTATTACCAAAATATGGTTTATAAGCGCACAAGTAATTAGCAGAGCACTTTTTTTTTTTTCCCCTGGAAAATACTTTGATTAAGGTTCTAGGAAAAAAACCCAAAAAACAGTAAAAAAGAAAGAGGAACACTAAGTAGCAGCCCCAGGAAAAGCCACAGAAAGGGGTTTGTGCTCAATTTATTGGTGCCATGGTCCTTCCAGGAGCAGCACTGGGCTCTCTCCTGTAGGGAATGGAACACTCCAGCAAAATAGGGTCAGGCTGTTTCTGCAATCATAGAATAATACTGGGACAATAAATTTAAAGGTCCAGTGGAAGACTCTTTAATTTACTGGGAAATGACAGCACATCTGAGGCCAACCTGTATAAAATTTCCTCCTTCATTCCTTGGTTGTCTGCTGCTGAACATCTGCTCTGAGGCTGCAGCTGTAGTTACCATTCATGCACCATCCCAGCCT